TTGACCTTAGGCACGTCAGCCTCTACAATGACGAGCTGGCACATGCGATTCAGGACAGACCAGCAGATGTCCTGCCACTCGTACGTGATACCCTTCTGTCTTTGATCTACGCTTAGCTTGTATAGTTTGAAAACGCTGCTACTCGTGCCGCCAAAACCATCCTCTATCCTCTCGCCGGCACTGATGAAGCAATCAATGCAGTCGCCGAGTCTATCGACAAAGTTCAGATAACTCTTCGCTCCGGCCTTAACCTCCTCCAATTCCGTGATCTCACCGCTAACACCATCAACAAACTCGTAAGGGTCCCAGGAATAGTCATCTCAGCTTCCGTCCTTTCATCCAGGGCGACGAAGCTACACATCCAGTGTCGCGCGTGTCGTTCTGTCAAGACTATATACCCACCCGGAGGCATTGGAGGCCTTGGGTATGGAACCGGATCTGGATTGCCTCGGAGGTGCGAAGAACCTCCACTCGACGGGCAGAAGAAAGACTGTCCATTGGATCCGTACCTCATCATTCACTCAAAGTCCACCTTTGCTGACCAGCAGACACTGAAACTTCAAGAAGCGCCGGACATGGTGCCTGTTGGTGACCTGCCGAAGCATATGCTCCTCTCAGCGGACAGATATCTGACGGGACAAGTTGTGCCGGGCTCAAGAGTTATTGTTACTGGCATATACTCGACCTTCCAAGCTGCACGGGATGTAGGTCTTTGATCCCTTGCATATGCATAACTTCTAACGTCATACTAGAAATCTGCCGGCGCTGCAGCTACCCGAAAGCCATACCTCCGTGTCGTCCACCTCGAAATGTCTTCTCCCTCTGCCGCTGGTTCAGGTGGTTCCAACCCGTTTGGAGTGCAGTTCGCCCCAGAGGAGGAGGAGGAGTTCAACGAAATGGCACGGAGTGAGGGTTTTTACGAACGATTTGCTAAGAGTGTTGGACCCAGCATCTACGGGAGTCTTGGTATGTTGCAACCTTTAGTCTTGAAAGCTCTCATATACTGATGCCATGACAGACATCAAAAAGGCTATTACCTGCCTCTTATTCGGAGGGTCAAAGAAAGTTTTACCGGACGGTATGCGACTTCGTGGCGATATAAATGTCTTACTTCTCGGCGATCCTGGTACTGCAAAGAGTCAACTGCTCAAGTTCGTGGAAAAGGTAGCACCCATCGCTGTATACACATCTGGAAAAGGTTCTAGTGCTGCCGGTCTGACAGCGTCGGTACAAAGAGATACAGTTTCGGTGCGTACCTGCTTGCTATCCCAAAGTCTGGCTGATGGAGTAACGACGATGTAGAGAGAGTTCTATCTTGAAGGAGGTGCTATGGTCCTTGCAGACACAGGAGTCGTGTGTATAGATGAGTTTGACAAGATGCGAGATGAGGATCGCGTTGCAATTCACGAAGCCATGGAACAACAAACCATATCTATTGCCAAGGCGGGAATCACCACGGTACTGAACACACGTACCAGTGTCCTTGCGGCGGCTAATCCAGTCTTTGGCCGTTACGACGAAGGACGCAGTCCGGGCGAGGTGTGTTTCTTCCTTGGACACGAGATCGAGCTGGAATATTTCTCTGCAGAACATCGATTTTCAAACTACTATCCTTTCTCGATTCGATATGATCTTCATTGTAAAGGATGAGCATGACGAGACACGAGATAAGGTTAGCTCAAAATTTGCAGTAATCCATCCAGTTCTCACACATGTTCTGCAGACTATTGCGAAACACGTCCTGAATGTTCATATGAACAGACCTAACCACCTCACAGACGAAAATGGTGAAGGAGAATTGCCTTTGGACAAAATGAAGCGATATATTGCTTATTGCAAACAGTGAGATATCTTGTCTGCTCATCTGTGTTATCATTGAAACGTTTGCAGGAAATGTGCCCCCCGGCTATCTCCCGAAGCCCAGGAGATGCTCAGTAGTCATTTCGTTAGTCTACGGAAACAGGTCCAGCAGGTGGAACAGGATAACGACGAGCGAAGCTCCATACCTATCACCGTTCGTCAACTTGAAGCCATAATCCGTATATCAGAGTCCTTGGCGAAGATGACACTCGCACCTGTTGTTCAAAACCATCACGTAGAAGAGGCTATACGGCTGTTCAAGTTCTCTACCATGGATGCCGTGTCCGCAGGTTCTGCCGATGGCCTCTCGCGAGGAGGTCTGAATGAAGAGATGACGCGTATAGAGAAGGAGCTGAGGAGACGTCTACCTGTCGGGTGGCGAACTAGCTATCAGAGTCTCATCAAGGAGTTCGTCACCCAGCAGGGGTACTCTAGCCATGCACTTGAGAGGACATTGTATATCCTGGAGAAGCGGGAGGTGATTCGGTTTTCCGGACAGGTAGGTGTCAAACATTGCCGTTCATATCAGGTCTAACAGGTTTCTTCGTATTCACAGAAAAAGGTTGTCCATAGGTGCGCAACGTTGTTATATTTTCCTTCCTGATACTGATTTTCCTTCGTACAGGGTTGGAGTATAACCTGCTGCTGTGGCGTGATCAACTAGATCGGATGTATGATTAACTTATTTCTTGTGTACTATTTGTGTTGTTTGTATCAGATTCAGTTGACACGGTTCTCTGAAGAACAATGACTCAGTCCTTTATGCAGATGGTCTAATCAACAATGGTTACCGCTGGTTATCAGGACTCAGGAGCACCGACTGGAAACGACTCAGTCAAAGATTACATAGTGCGTAACGCGAAATGTGAGAAACGCGCGGTAAAGACTTCTAACGACATCTTCTGAATGTCCAGCAGACTAGGGATTTTAAGAAATGGGTCTCACCACGACAATGTGTCACTGAGTGGAAAACAAGAAGATACCTCAGACTGTTGGGAAACCTATTCAACCGAAAGCTTGGATAGGTATTAGACGATCGCCGGCACCGACTCCTGGACTCTGGGACTCTGGGTTCTACTGCAACAACGTAAGGGGAAAAAAAAAGATCTAGCCCACCGCGAGGGTCGAACTCGCAGCCTTCAGATCCGCCTAGAATTGATAAGAGTCTGACGCTCTATCCGATTGAGCTAGGCGGGCCATATTTGTGATTCTGCTATTAGTATATGTCACCATAAAAGTAAGTCAAGACATTGAAGCACGCTTCTTACGTCTCAAACCTCATTATCATTGACGACGATGAGCGCCATGGATACAGACGAAATCTCTGTGGTACTCCCATCCACAACGACATCGGGTCTATCGATATCTTTGTAAAGGCGGTTTTGACTTCCGTTTTCAATGATTGACCTTGTCTGTTAGGCATCCCTTACCGATTCTGAATATTTCTGAACATTTGACGCGACGGAAACTACAAACAAACACCTCTACTCCTTTCAGTGAGTCTTATGTCCTGTCTCGATGTTGCGAGGACATATTCGAACTTTGTTGCAGTCCTTGGAGCCCTGCTGGGCACTCAGAACGGGAGAGATGTGGAGATCGTGAATACCTTTGAATTGGCCGTGGAAGAGGATGGTGCTACAGTGGATCATTCTTTCTTGGTATCGCGGCGTGACCAGTGTACGTGAGCCTCATTTAGCGGGATGTATCATTGACTAAATGCGTGGCATTTTGTAGACAAGCAAGTCTTTCCCTCCTTGGAATTCATCGGCTGGTACACAGTGGCTCCCGGACCATCTTCGCGTCATATCGCACTTCATTCACAAGTACGCAACTTGATCCTTTAGCTTACGATTATCTTACAAGGGTAATAGTTCACAGGATACTGCTCAACGCCTCTCCTCCTCCTCCTTCAATCTTCCAGTAATATTTCCACTGGCTCCGATGGCAATCAAACACTTCCTTTCAAAGCCTATGAGCCAACGATCGAGATTAGGGACCGCCTGTCTCGTCCAGTCTTCGTGGAGGCGTCGTACAATGTAGAGACAGGTGAAGCCGAACGGATCGCTGTCGACTGGACTGCACGCGGTGGCGGTAGTGGCACGAGTTGTATGTTTTTGTTCTCTATGTTGGCTCTCTAATATTAAAATCCTCCGTAGTGGAGTCACATCTGCAAACGCAACGAGCGGCTGTCAAAATGCTCCATGACAGAATTGTCATTTTGGTTCACTATGTCACAGAGGCTTTAGCAGGTAGGGTGATACTCATCGGTGCTCTCTCTCACTGAGTGCATTCCTACCTAGGCACGGCGCCTAAGGACCAAGCTATTCTTCGATCCATCTCAGCGTTGGTAGCCTCACTTCCTGCAACTGAAAATAAAGCATTCCGGGAGGAATTCGACACGGTTGGAGATCCTGCTATATTCTGTCTTTACGGCGCTGATAGTAGGATTGGGACAGGAATATGAAGATGTTCAGATCACAGCTTTTCTGTCATCTCTGACCAAATCGACCAGCATTTTGAATGATGTGCGTCCCGCGCCGTGCTTCACCGATTTCAGTCTGAATGACCTTCTGGATTTAGCTCGTTGATAAGCACCTCATAATCACAGCCAGCCGAGAGGATAAGATGGGGGCCCGCCGAAGACCTATGGGCAGAATGCCGATGGCAGAATGGCATTGAGTTAGACTCGTAGAAACCTTTGTCAGTCATCTTGTGTTTGCTGTTACGACTTTCCGAATTGCAATACTGTATTATCATCATCACGGCATTGTACCACTTGGGCACACCGGACGCAAGTATACTGTATCGTTACACCAACCTGTACATATGTGCGTTTCCAGGGGATGCTGTGATATGGAATTGGTGTCGTCGGAGTTGAAGGTGGAACCAATGTCGGCAGGTTCTTGGTGGAAGTGAGGTCTTCTCGAACTGAGAAATACATCATGCCAGACCCTCGGAACTAATGGAAGGCTCCATGGGTATACCCATGTAATGAAGTAGGGAGTGACCAATGAAACTGGAATGAATTTGTGCCGAATGGTACGTCGTAGCGTAGGTTTACTAGTGAAAAGAAAGAGAGGTATAGTAGAAGACATCAGAGCCTCTATAACTACAGATCTCACTTTGATACGTATTAGTGTGGCCGTCTGGCGAAATGGCATCGCGTCTGACTACGATCTTCAATAGAAGTCTGGCGTTATCAGGAGATTGCAGGTTCGACCCCTGCGTCGGTCATCCTTTTTCTCTTTTTCTTTTTTTCATACAACAAAAGTATTTTTGTTTTGTAATAAGTAAATACCGGTAAGATTTTACCTGGACAATGGACATACACTAACCGGTAAATTACCGGCGTATAAAAACATGTGATGAGTAACCGCATCCGGTGATCATTGTCTTTCGCCACTACCACGATGCGTCAAGGCCGTCATGACGAGCACAGTAGCAAGGAGTATCGTAGAAATGGTGAGGTGTTTCATGTGAGACGGACGACGAGTGCTCACATCCGACCTGATGAACCTTTGCGCATGACCCTCGACGCTATTTACCTGGCAATCCTACATGCTCAAAGAACGCTCCCGCTCTAGGTCTCTAGGAAGAGAAAAAGAAAGGCGATATTATTCATCCGATGACGAAGCACATGTTACACGCTCTCGACATCAACTACGGGGGGAAGGCAGTCAACGCAGACATGCCTTGCCAGCGAAGTCTCCCGAAGGTGACCGTAACACGAGAGGTCGAGATCGACATTCCAAGGATATATCTAAGCGCCATAGAGACTCTTCTGTGAGCATGTGCAAGCCCATTTCTTCCGTGTGGATTCTGACCCATCCTTGTCAAGCGGACGTCTAACCGAGCTGTGCGTCATGTTCCTATCAGCTCATCTAGAGAAATATTGTTTTGACCTTCAAAGTGGAAACTATTGTCATTATAGGAGCATGAACATCGTCGACGCAGCCGTTCATCTGAATCATACTCTTCCTTCTCGAGTGAAGACCACAAGAAACGTAGGCGTAGTTCGCGCTCTAGGTCACCTCGTCGAAGAAAAGAGAAGGATTCGCGAAAGCACAAGGACAGGGACTATGAAAGGGACAGGAAGAAAGGGAAAAGCAAAGAAAAAGATAGAAAGAAGGATAAAGACAAGGAAGAACGGAGAAGCGTTCTAACGGGCAAAAAGGTTTCTTCCTTTATTCTTCTTAGCGGCCGTCCAATCTCATTCGTGTTGCCCAGATCAAGTTGAAAGTCAGAAAAGAGAAGGGGGATGACGAACGGGAAGCTAATAGGAAGGATCTTTTACAGTTCTTGAATTCCACGTTCGAATGAACCATGCACATTATTAGCATGTTATCTAAATATCTACAGTAACCATGTGGTGCTATCTAAGTGTCTCTTTGTCTTGTGTATTAAAGTACTACAAACGGGTATCGAAAGAATAGATTAGAATGCTCTCCAAATATATGTTACACATGATGGATAAAATCCAGTTGTTAGTTCGTCATTCCTAGCTGACGTCTTCCTGATAAAAGAAGCGTGAGCGCGTGAATGCGAAATCATGGCAAGCAAGACATCAAACCTTTAGATGCTTTTGCACCATTATAATAGATGATGATCGCCTTATATTTGTCTTGATCTTCTTCCAAAGCCCGCGTTGCGGCGGAGAAGAAGATATGCCCAGTTTGGGCTTCACGGGCACCGACGACGGCGGTATGATAGCGGTGAAGATAGGTGTGGATATTTCTGTGACTGGCAGGCTAGTCTTCGGTTCCGCGTCCCCATGAACAAACAACGGCGACGTGGAAAGCCCGATCTCGGGAGACATGCTGGTACTAGTACCTTGGAAATCCGATCCGGAGTGCGAAGAAGACGCGGAAGATTGTATCAAATCGCTTTCGGGTTCTGGTTCTTCTACGAGCACCGGACGTTCTGGTTCGTCCGCACCACTTCTCCCGCTTTCTCGGTCCCCATCACCCTCCATTTCGAAACCCACATAGTCTCCTTGGTTATCTGACTCATCAGGTAGACGACGACGCGGAACGCTTCCAAGAGAGTGGATGGTACTGGCAAAATCCCAAGAATCAATGGAACGGTGAGTTTGGGTGCTTGGGATTACCCGACGTTCTTGCCGATGGGCCAGAGGTGGTAGATTCTCTGGGAAAATACTTTAAGTCGCATATTGAATAACCAAAGGCGATAAACTTGCTCAGTATAGTAGCGATCAGGTAAGAAGGCTTCTTTGCTCCTTTGAAAAACTGCGTTTGAAGGAGCTGTTCCGCAGTTGGCCTAGAAGATAATAAGTGAGTGAGAAATGCCATTGTAGCTTACAAACACACCGGTGCAACGGGTCTTTGATTAGACAGCTTTCCACCATTTCTTGAAAAGCGCGAGAGTACTTGTATGTGCCACCATCCCTATCCAGTGTAGGAGATGCCTCTTGGATGCTACGCTTCCATAGAAATAAGGATGCTGGAGAATCAAATGATATACGCGTACGTTTTCAACAATACTTTTTGAGGTGACTCCCGGGACCTGGGTGGCCGGCCCTGGGTAAGTTCGAGGGCGGTGATACCAAAGCTCCATATATCCGCAGAGGAGTCATAGTTCTTTCCCTGAATCAGCTCGGGCGCCATCCAGCATGGCTAGTGGTTCATGAAGTAAGGATACAGTCGAAGATATCTTGCACCTACTGTACCAACGAAAGATTTCCGTTTTCCTATCTTTGGTCTTGAGTGTGCTGCGGTAGGTTCGACAAGTACAACACGTCTGGTGGAGCTAAGGGGACTGTGTCCTGACGCCGCACTGCCTTGACTATCATGAGAACTATTCTGCTGACGCGGAGAGGCGACGTAGCGTGAGGACACGGTCTGTGATTTCGAAGTGCTGGGAGAAGTGTCCTCAGCGAGGTTTGCGGCGACACCGAGATCACCTAAAAGGACCGTTCCATCGTCGTCGATTAATAGATTTGCTGCCTTGACGTCGCGATGAATGAATCCGTTGATGTGAAGATAGCTAAGGCGAAGAGTAAGTGGTCTGCGGGACGCTAGTAAGAGTGAAAGAGGTACTTGAGACCCAAGAGAGCTTGACAAAGGATGCAACGGATAACGTCTTCCTCCAAACCTGCAGGCCAGCCATAGTGCATGACATCGGCGGCGCTACCCTTATTCATGAGCCGCAATGCAATGAAGAGCTTATGGCCGTCCATCCACGAACCACGGACACGAAGAACGTTTGGATGCTTGGACAGGGACATCAGAGTTGTCTCTCGCTGCAAAAGTGACAGCGAATGAGGGGGAAGCGAGTCAAGATCCAGAACTTTGAGGGCGCATGGAATCGCAGACGAGGATCCTTGAGGCTTGTATTCTGCCGAGTAGACTATTGAAGATGCGCCGAATCCTATTGGAGAGCCGATAGTATAGTCCTCAGAACGGTCACTACGGGCGAAGTAAGCCAGTACCAAGATACACGGACGACGTGCTCACCTGTACATGACCCAGTGGTCCTCGACCGCGCCAATGAACTCCTTGGGCGCCATGTCCGGTCTCTTGGATGTCGGTGACATAGCACTCACGATAATGATGATCGTAATAACTTAAAACAGAGAAGCACTGCTGATGCACGTGGTTACGAACCGCCGGCTCGGGGGTCGACGTCGATGTGCGCCTTGTTCGTCGCGTCCAAGGCACCGATAACGCATTGTTCACCAAGCCCAACATTCTTGAAAACAATAACGAAAAACGTGGAGCATGGGTAACAGTTTTCACGCTCGGCATCGCCGCCACAGTGGCGTTTGGCAACAGTAGACAACGTCAGCTAAGCGCTGGCAGAGATTGCCACCATGAGATGATGACGTCCATATGCTAAGTTGCGATAAACCGGACACGAGGGTTACCCTGAGACTAGTTTATCAGCTACGTAGAGATAACGGGCAATATCACTTTGCTGCCACCAGAACAATATTCAGAGCTGCTGGCTCCATTAAGACAACACCAGCACATCCCAGAACATTCCACAAAAATTAATAAAGATTGCAAGCGGCAGATGTCGCGTCAATAGTTTGTTGGCGCAGGGATACTCCTGTGGCGGTGCAGTGCCGGAAAATGCCGCCAATCACAGACCTTCTGTTCCGAGAATACGCCACCGCTCAACGTCCTCTCCGTCCATCTCACTCTACCCTCCGTCTCTCATTTCTCTCGGCCCCCTCCTCTGTGCTGTAGATGGCTCCTCAGCAGCCTCCAGCCAGATATTCATACGTTGAAACCTCTGCAGGCCCCAAAATCCTACCCGTCGAGGAACCCTCGTGCAAGGATGAGGAGAGCCCAGCAGATTACAACGCAGGAGGATATCTGCCGGTCAAACTCAGCGACAGTTTCAAGAATAATAGGTACAAGGTTATAAGGAAACTTGGGTGCGTACTCTTTACCCTGGCTCCTTTTCAGTTTTCCTAATCTTGCGCAATCGACAGATGGGGTCATTTCTCGACAGTATGGCTCGTAAAAGACGCCCAGTAAGTATTTCTATCACGCTTAGTTTGCTCTTTTGTTACCACTTTCTCCTGCAGTCTTCACCGTCACTCGGCTCTCAAGGTCGTCAAGTCTGCTGGACGATACGCAGAAACAGCGAGAGACGAGATCAAACTCCTTTCTCGGGTCGCATCGTTTTCACCAACTCATCCAGGCCGCCAGCACATTGTCTCCTTTCTCGACTCCTTTTCTCACCAAGGACCCGAGGCCTCCCATATCTGCATTGTATTCGAACCTCTTGGCGAGAATCTGCTGGCGTTGATAGAACGTAACAAGAAGCATGGAGTACCGCGGGCTCTCGTCAAGGTCATCGCCAAGCAAACCCTGCTCGGTCTCCAATATCTTCATGATGAATGCGACTTGGTTCACACCGACATTAAGCCGGAGAACATTCGTAAGTAGCTCCTCTAACGAGTCACTGTTATCATCGAGATACTGATTTATACCCTTATAGTAATTTCCATTCCCGACATTGAAGCCCACATCTCCACCGAATTATCTCAGTCACCCTCCCCGACCTCTCGTCGGGTCGGTGTCCCTCTACCGTCTAATATCCGCTCGGGTTTTGCCATACGGAATCAACGGTCCACCCGTCGCTCCGTTCAAATATTTGACTCTCAGCCTCTCTCAAGTCCCTCACGGAGCGCTGGTATTCATGGATTGAGCATGAGCTTCGGTGCACTCAACAGTTGCCAAGGCGGTAGTGGGAGCGGCCTCAAT